GGAGGACGGGCGCTACGTGCAGTCCCTTCAGAAGAAGTTGGAGCCAATCTTCAACTGCAAGGCGGCCCAGGTGGAGCTGGAGGAGCCTGCGAGCACCATGGAGCCCGAGGAATCTTCAGAGGAGATACTTTCTGAGGACGGGTCCACTGCCAGTAAGAAATGCAATCCTGGGAGCGCCGGCCATCCAGAGCTGTGTCGAAGGCCTTGCATCTACTTTGCACTGGGCCAGTGCATGAACCTGGCAGACTGTAATTTCTGCCATCTGCCTCACAACAATCGATCAGCCACATTGGACAAGAATCAGCGCCAGCTGATCAAGGAGATGAGCCGACATGAGTTCTTGTCGATGCTGCTTCGCTGTCTGCACAGCAAAGCAGCAGAGGGGCGTTTCGAACTGGACGCCCAAGATGTGTTGCAGCTTTTCAAAGCGCAGCTCGCCCAGCTGAAGCCAACTCCCAGCAAGGTATCGAAGGCTAAGGTCATGAACCTCGAGAAGGCCTTGACCCGGATGACCTTCTTCAGCGTCGCGAGTCTGACATCTCGCGTGCAGCTGGGTGCCAGCTTCCTGGACGCATGCAAGGAGAAGGTCGGTTGCCTGCGGCAGAAGCTTGCATAGTGGCATAGTGAACAGATGGTGTTCGCGGCCCCTGGTCGCATTTTCCAGGCTTCCTTTATCAATTCCGCCCGGGCGAGATTACCGCCTGTGGCGTGTATGGCTCTTGCTGTTTGTTGGGTATCCCCTTTTCAGCGGCTTGCTTCGATCCTTCCTTTCGGTCCCGCAGCAGGATCAATAGTGTCAGCTGCGGCCCTCGCAGATAAGCTTCTTTTGCTTCGGCTGGCTGGGCTTTCCGGCAGCAGGCAATATCTTGGGATTGGCACTTTAGGCCAGGATGGGGCTGGAAGTCAAAAGCAGGTCTGCCTGTGCCAGCCCACTCAACCCGTTTGAAACGGTGCTTCACACTAGGAATACCTAGGTGCAAGCTCCTTGTCGCAGTCTGCGGGATCTGGTTTAGATACGAACCAGGCATATCCTGCAAGGGTTGATCGTCGCCGGCTCTGCACTTGTACCGTGGTTTTGCGATAGGTTTGGTTGCTTCAATCTGTCGGCGCCGGGCAACCTGTCCCCAGCCAGGGTTTGATGTCCCTGTGCTTGCTGCGCTAAGCACCGGCGAGCTAGGGAATCCACAACAAACCCGCTGGGGAGGCGTCCCATGCGTCCCGTGGACTGCTTGCAGCTTTTTTTTGTGGAAGGCCTTTGCGAAGCTGGGCCTTCTCGTGCCATGCCATATGGCTGAGAACGCGGGCACGCTGCAAAAAGCTAGGTCGTTGCTTGCGAACGCCCAAGGTCTCATCTCACGGTCTCAGTTCCTGATGGAGGAGCCCTCACTTCCAGACACAACAAAAAGAGGCATTGCAAA